AGGCCTCTCTCATCTTTTTAAGTGGGAGAACTTGCACAATTGGTGGCTGACTAAATACTTTTTTGCCCCACTGTAGATTGGAATGCCTTTTCTATCTAACAACTGATGAATTTAAGTTACTAGACGTACCATCAATAATTGGTCTTTTCTGATTTCCATTGCTCTGTTCCACAGGCTCCTGCTTCATAGGCTGTTTTTTTACTTTGTCTTTCTTTTCTTTATTTGCCATAGCTTCCCAATAGCCTTCTGGGTACTACAACAGAAGAGCATCACATCTGAGTATTTTAAGCAATGCTTGCATAAAAACAAGAACATCCGGAATGACAGTATTTTCATAAGATCCATTACATCAAAGAGAACTCCAGCTCTGGAGGAGGAGCAAAAAAAGCTGTAGTCTGAGTCAACTGATTCACAAAATGCCATTATTCCCTTGAAGACACAAAATGAACACTAAGCCTTCATTTCTATCTTTATAACAAATAGATTGGCTGAAATTACCAGGCTTGCCTCCTTGGTAAGGAATCAAGGGCTGTTTCCACTTTCTGTATTTTATCAACTGACCTAGGAATCCAAATATTAACAAATGAAATAAGTACTAGATTACCCATTGAATACATTTTATATTGGGAGTGGTTTATGTCTGAAGGATAGGAAATCATATCTGAGACTCCCAATCTTTTGAAGGACTAAAGAGACAGAACCAAAAGTTTTCTGTCCATTTATTGCCAGGCGGAGCAGTTAAGGATAAGGGTGGGAGCGGGAATCTCCTGGGGAAAACTGTTCATTCCCACCTAAAAACCATCCCAAAACATGGAAAAGGGGGTTGCTGAATTTCAATCATAATTTAAAAATTCTGGGGAGGGGGCACAGATGTAGTGCCATGTGTAGTCTATAGGTTGTCCACCTCTCATCTACATGAAATAAAGTATGGACTTCTGAAACATGAAGATTGCGGAGAAAATATAATCCAAGTTATCTGACATCTTTAAAACAAATCTTAAGAAAACCTTACAAGAGAGCTTCAGCTGAACATTGACTAGCTTATCTGTTTCAGTAAAACATAAAAACTGTGGCAGTAAAAAGTTCTAACCTGTAAACTCAGGCCCAATTTCTTTGACCGTTCAATTCCCTCTGTAGTCCAAGGTGCAGGTTCAGCATCATCTCTTCTCAGAAGATAGCGCCAAACTAAAAATCCACATTTTCCAATTTCTGGCCAATATTTCACCACCTGTTTTATAAAGTTGCTTTTATATGTATCTTCTATAGTCTAGCTGCTTAAATCAACTTTAAGAATCCATTCAAACTTTTGTATCTAAAAAGTTTAACCTAAGGGCATCTTAAAGTATTTCCTAAAGTTGACTATACAAAATAGTTTAAAAAAATCAAGCATATTAAGTAAAATGATAGTCACAGGATAGACAAAACAAAAAACAGTACAAATAAGATTATTTAGAATACCACACTAAAGCCTGAGTGAATTTATCGATCTGTGACTTTCCTCTTTGCTTAGTTGTACACTCAAGATTGCCCACAAAATTAAAATGCAGAACACAAAATAGAAAATTAATGTATGAAATAATCAACTATTAAAAACTTGGAATTGTATCTTGAATGCTCTTCTAAGGCACAGAGTGTAAGGGCAAAACCAACTCCAAAAAGAGTACATTCCATAATATGAGTGTGAAACAGAAAAAAAGCCTCTGAGAATGGGGGCACATGCAAAAAGGCTTCTTCTGCTGATCATAATGTCCCCACGGGTTTGTTACAGAAAAGGCAGCTCTTCAGGTAGTCAGGTCCTAAACTCTTTATAGAATGTTATTATTTTTTATTTTTTAATTAAATTTATAAGGTCACCCCATTCTATAGTTTAAAGTTTAATAGCAGCACCTTAAATTGTACCGAGAAAATCAAAAGGTTTTTCACTACAGGTATAATTCCCATATCTTTTATTAGTTAACAGCCCAATTGCCACCTTTTGTACCAACTGAAACTTCCAGATGCTTTTTAAGGATAAACCACAACAGGGTACATTGTAATAGTCCAGATACAATATGACCAAAGAGTAGATAACACTGCTAAATCCAATTGGCTCAGCAATGATCCAGCTATCATGCCAGTGTAATGTGCTCTTTACTATAGCTGCCACCTTGATCAATGAGATCTTCTATTTCTATGGAGAAGGGAGGGTACAATATACTCACAACAGGCTAAATTTCAATATCCAAATACCCAAGACTCAACTACGTAAGCCTGGATTTAATTTTAATTTGTTCATCTGCATCCAGCCCATTATTGAACTTCAGCATTTGTCAAGGGAACCAACTGCTTCCTTGACGGCAAGCAGTAATAGAACTGGTGCTTTTAGCATACTGATGGCATCCTACTCCAAAGTTCCAGCTGCTTCATGTAAATACTGAACAGCTGAGGGACAGGATGGAGTCTCTTGGGATGCCATAGATCAGGTTCAACAGAAGTGCCCCAGCAAAATATATGAAACTACTGCAGAACAGATAGCCTAGAGAAATTAGGAGAGCCACACATTCTATCTGTTTTCCAGCACAGGTACCGTATTTTTCCGACTATAAGACGATACTTTTTTCTAAAATCCTTATGCTAAAAATTGAAGGGCGTCTTATTC